GTTTACCCACCAAGAATCCGGAATGTAAAATTACAGCCCCTTCGTTGTTATACCCATTAAAAATACCAACATTGTAATGTTACTTCTGTTGGACAACGCGCCTAGAATGGGGAATATGTCGACACATGGACATTGTAAATATTCAGCGAGGAACTGTTATACCTATCATGAAGCCGTAATACCAAATCACAGGCCCTTCGATTGGAAAATAAGCATTAAATCGTCAATACCTCGAGAATAGACCAGGACCTTTATATGTGGGGTATGTCAAAACATATGAACCATAAGAACGCGGAATGTGAACATACAATCCCTTCGGTAGGAAAATGAATTGGAACATTTGTGTGAGCTTTTATATATGTATCTTTATTGGCATTTTTTACAACGATGCTTATCAACCTTCACAAAAACGCAATGCTAAATTAAGTACAGTTATAATAAAACTTGGACCGTTACAACCCATTGGAAGCAATCCCAATGCAAAATGTCAAAGACCTATCTTAGTAAAAGAGATCTCTATCGTAATTTCATCTGACAAATGGGCATGGCTAAGTGGATAGGTCTCTTACAAAATTTTTTTAAAATTTACGCCTTCTGTATGTCTTTTCAAATATTTATAAAATGCACGCCTTCTATAGTCCCTTAAAAATATTTATAAAATACACACCTTCTATTATATAAAATCCACTACGAGAGTATATTAGAGTATATATTCGTGAAGACAATACTATATGGACGATATAGATTGTATTTCTGTCTATCCGTATGTACATTGAAGTTCGAATATTTTAGATATAGCTTTGAAATTTTGCACATAACTGGCTAAGACTTTTTTTTTTGAAACTGGGTTTTTTTCCGGATGAAATAGTGCATCGAAATTTTCGATATTTTGTTTGCCATTTAAAGTGACTGTTATTTTGCTATCCGAATTCTTGGAAGGTATAACGAATAAGTATACCTGAATAACGAATAAGTATACCTGTCTAAATATCTTCAGCTTGAAGACAGGAGCTAGAGACATTACCAGCACTTGATGTATATGGTCGGATATATTAATATATTAACAGGATTCTTGAAACTCTAAAATTTTGTAGTAGTATTATATACACTATATTTACACAGAATAGAGATTTAGATCCACTCAAAATTTAAGTTAGTGGTTAGTGTTTTTTAATATATTCTAATATACTCAAATAAATCATAAAATGCCTTGAAGTATTTTTTTCTGGTAATCTGTCATAATGAGATTATATAATTAAGAGTCCCTTACTAATATAATTACTGCTTAAAATGTTTTCTCTTTAACTCTGTCACAGTATATCCTCTTTATTTTTGAAATTTTCAAATCACATAAAAAATATATTTGGTCTAAAGCAAAGATAATAGAAAAGGTCATCACAAAAAGGAATGGAATAATTATGAAAATGTTTATGTTAAATTGCAGACAAAGACTTCTTAAATATATTTTAAAAGAATTGAAACAAAATATAGCAAATCTTCTTCATTGGTCTTTAGGTTATAAAGCCAGTATAAATTTAAATAAAATAATATTTTGAAGCAACATTTTAAAATTACTTACTCGAAAATAGAATCTCTTTCTGAGCTGGTTTATTTATGTCCATCAGTTTGTCTATGCTAAATTGTAAAACAAATACAGGTCACATTTATGATTCCAATAAGATGAAAATCAGCACAGCCCACCTATTTGGCTCACTATTGAAAATAGAGACATTCGGTTTAGATTTAGATATAGCTCCTAATATTTTCAAACTCGTAAGATATGTTCTATTGAGAACACATTTTGCACAGCATATTAAATTAAGTACAAAATAAAATGTTCTATGTTTCGTTGAAATCAGTTAAGATTAAGATATAACTCCCATATATATTTGCGTCAGATTTTATTTTAAAAGTGCACTATACTCCCAAAATCTGTATCTATAAGCACATGTGCTAAATTTAGTGAAAATGGGTTCAGATTTAGATATAGCTCCCATATATATTTTCGTCCACTTTTATGTAAATACTGCACCAAAGTTCGTATATTTTCCTCGATTTACACGAAATTGTACATAGCGTATTAAATTGCGCCTAATATTTAATTGCTAATATTCGGTGAAATCGGTTCAGATTTAGATATGTATATTAGTGTGTGAAAAAACCCTTAAATTGGTATGAACTATAGGTTTTTATTTAACATGCTTCGGAATGTCCAATTTGGGCTAAAAAATGCACAATTTTGTTGTATGATTTGTTGTTATTTTAAAGGTAACTTCATAATGCCTCTCTCATAGATGTATTGCTCTCTATTTTTGCAAAAAAAAAAAAAAACTCTAAGAAACGATTTTCACAATCCTCCCTAGATACCAATTTTTAATCATTAAGGGACCCCCCCCCCCATTCTCGGTGTCAAAAATGTTTTTGAATTAATTCAAATCTACTCTAATTCTAGAATGTCCCTAAAAAATTTCAAGTGAAAATCTCAAGAACTCTTGAAGATATAGCCGATTTATTGTATCAGCATCAATTGACGGCAAGAGTTATTCTCAAACTTTAAACGCATTTTTTTTTCGAATCAGTATTTTTCAAATGGCGGGCACGATAACTCAAAACCTAATAATCCAAATTTTGACACGTTTCTCTGGGAGTGTATAGCTCTCGTATGAACTAGGATAAAGCCAATTGCGGTCAAAAATAGGCGATTTTCCAAAAAAAAAAAAAATTCAAAGTCCCACCATTTTGCTAATTGTTGTGCGAAGTCAATAATCCTAGTTCATACGAGAGTCAGATATGTAGTCTTTCTAATGCCGTTGAAATTTTCGAATTCCGATGTTCCAGTGAGGAGTTATCATGCCCGTCATCAAAAATAAAGACTTTTCTTTGATCACAAAAAACAACAATAAAAAATTTTTGTAAATTATTTTTCTTCCTTTTTAAATCTTCAAATATATATGTGCAAAGTTACAAACCTTAACAAGCATTAGTATTGGGGGGTTCCCTTAAAGAAATTTTGCAATGCAAGAAAAATATGATAATCACTTGGTGCCAAGTCCGGACTTCCCAACCAAGTTTCTTGCGAGTCACTGTAGATGTGTTTAGACCAGGGTTGTACTGGTGTTCCGTTTCTGGTCAATTGTAAATGGTTTAAAACAGTATTATGGTCGATTTTTAGCTCCTGGAATATGTTACGACCGCTAACATGTCGATCAACTTCGATTATTTCTCCGATGTTATCGACATTTTCGACGACCGTCCTACCTGTGCGAGGTGCATTTTCGCTTTTGTCAAGAAAACCTGTAAAACTTCCATTTGAAAACCAAAATATTTTTTTTTTACTGCAAAATATCATCTTCCAACGAGCATAAATCTGAAATTGCTTTTGTCAGAAATATATCAGTACAGCCATCTGCCGAAAAATAATGGTTTTGGAAATTTTCTGAAACGGATTTTGTCCAAAGAAACAATATTTCAATGAGACATATTTTCACAGTATCAAAGTGTATATAACCTCATTAGCCATAGGCCTGAGGATATATATTTTTTCTATTTTTCTTTAGGCGTTTACCAATATAATTTCATCTTCCAAATTTCGGGAGAAAATCTCTCTACCAAAAATTATCAGTATTTGGTCTGTTCCCGTACTACAAGAATCTACTAATTTTCACTATTATATCAAAAAATAGAAAATTCACACTAAAAACGCTAAGTTGTAATTCATGGGAAAAACTAGAGCAAATTTGAAACTAATTTAAATTATATGGCTAATATTTGGAATTCTCGATTCAAAAAAAGACGTAGTCGCCGAAAAAATAATATAGGACCCTATTTCCACAAAGGTTCCTATCCGGTTATATATCAATATAATAATTATTCCCGGAATAAATATCCCAGTATCCCTTATTTTTTTAATTTATATTAATATCTATACACTATAAAAGCCATTAATAAAATGACCATTAAATATTCTATCAGTGATTAACAAAAATATTCAATTATTGCCCTTCATTGATTATTGTAATCCCTTTTGTCGGCTAATCTAGTTATTGCGCCTGGTAGCATTAATTATATTTAATATTAGTATAATTTACTCATACTAGTCGGGGCAAGGCTTTACTTTGCTAGCTCAGCATTTATTAGAAATTACACAGTAATTAGCAGCAAATGCTGGTAAAGCTGCAGCAAACGGTGGTAATTAGATTGAATGGACTTAGCACAGGGCATACAAAGAGAGGGAGGGAGAGCCGGGGCAAAGCAAGGCCACCACACATTAAAAAAAATAATTATATTCATATAAAAAGCCACAAAAACAACAACAAGCATAAAAAACTTTTTTTGTTGCTTCGACATTCGCACAAAACCTAATTGGCCAATAATAAATTAATTAATATCTTCACTCGTTTTTTTTTTTGTTGTTGTTCTTGTTGTTTTTGTTATTGTATGAATGTTGTAATAATTTTATGATTGTCATTCGTTAATTCATCATCCCGTCATTAGCTGATGGATGAGGTGGAGGAAAAGGAAATAAAAATTGTGAATTCTTGAAAGGCAAACGGGAAGTGGCTGTCCCGATTTCCTCCTTTCGGCACGTAAAACATAAAAACAACAACAAAACTGTTACACAACAGACCCTAGGCACCATGCCTGTCTGGGTACTCGTTAAATTTATTCCTAAACCATAAAATAAAAATCCCGGACATTGTCAAACATTCAGCGGCCATAAAAACATTAAACTTTTTAGTGCCTCTAGCGCTGAATACCAACACAAACAAACAAAAACCAGCAACAATAACAATAAAAAGGGAATTTAACTTTATGATTGTTTTATTCGCTTTGTTTTTGTGGAATATGCCAAATGCGAAAATTATTAATAAATGTTTATTGTTCTCTCTCTTTTTTCCATTTTCCTTTCCTTTTTTCATGTCAAATTTCCTTTCTGTTGCGGGATGTGGTCACTCACATAATTCTGCGTCATGGTTACTTTGTGGATTCTGGTCCCGCAGTGTCATGTGGCTGCTGCAATGGTGGCTGCTTCCACCTCATTTGGCTATCAGTCCGTGAATCAGTTCAATGACAATCGCACGATGATGTGACGCCAGCTTAGCAGTTGCAGTTCCTGTAGCGGGAGCAGCAACTGCGGTAGAAACAGTGTTCTACACCACCATCATCATCATCACCACCATTCCCAGCAGCAACAATCACCACAACAACAGCAGCGTGAATCCCGGACCTGTACAAGGTGTCAAAGTTTTCATCGCCACAATCATCGTCAACGCCGACGATCCTCAGGTGTACACTTTGGTGCGGCGACCACAATGTCTAATATCACCAAAGCCATCGTGACCATAACACCACCGGTGCCAACGGGTACAGCCAGTGCCAATGCCTTGACGCCTTCGTCCATGACAAGTTTGTCACTAAATTCCGGACTCTCACCACATCACACGGCCCTCAATTCACCCGGTTCGTTGAGTGCGGCCACCACACCCATGACTGCCGGGCCATCGGGCAAACATTGTACATTTGCTCTGACGCCCATTACCATACCACCGCCACCTAATAAAGTCTCCTTCTTGTCGACGGCTAAATTTGCCAGTTCCTCAAACATAGCTCTGGCCACCACATCGGCTATGGTGGCAGCCTCAGCTGCGGCCGCGGCATCAAAGACAACACCAACCTCAGCAGCCTCCGCAGCAGCAACACCTTCGATACGTACACCCACGGAAATTTCTGATGACACAATGCCAACGCCAAACTCATCTGCTTTGATATCGTCGATGTCGATGCACAAATCGCACAGCCATCAAAAACTTGAAATGCGTCAAAGTTGTGCGAGTCAAATTACCACCGTCGAGGATGTTGATGAAATTTGCAAATTGTCGTTAACCGATGAGCGGAATAATAATGGCATCACTGATGATGACGAGGACGATGATGATGCGGATGCTGATGCTGATGACGTTGACGATGCCATAGGGGAAATTGAAAGTAATATTCTCGGCAGTGGCAGTTGTGGCGGTGGTAGCAGCTCACATCATTACTCCAACAGTCATTCAAATTCTTCGTTATCTTCATCAGCGGCTGTTCTCACACGTGATAACATAATGATTCCTTAAGGTTAGTCAATGTTGATTTAGTTTTTTATATTTAAAATAATTTAATATTCAAATTTATTACATACTTATGTTTATCAAAACACACATAATACACACAAATTTGTAGTCTTCCAAACAAGTATATATGTAATATTAAATTTAAAAAATTAATAATATTTATTGTTAAATAATTTATTAAAATTTTTGAATTTTTTCATAAAAATTGATTTCAAAGAGGCAAATATCACAATTAACATTTTGTGGAAAATTGTAACAAGTAAAACTGCGAAATTCAGCCTGAAAGGGTCTATACAAAAATATCCAACTTTGAGGGCTTAATCAGGTGGATGGTTTAACAAATTGGCACATATGTCTAGGACCATACAAAAATTCTGAGTTTGTCGTCAATGGTCTTTGAGGCTACATTAAAACGTGGACAAATATTACAAATATTTTGCCTAGAACCACAAACATTAATAAGGTCCTTAAATCGGCTACCAAGTTTATATGAAAAAAAACAAGGAAAGTTCTTAACCTATTGGCTTTATCCTAGTTCATACGATATCTCTACACTCCCAGAGAATCGTGTCAAAATTTGAAACCGATTGGATTATTAGTTTTTAAGTTATCGTGCCCGCCATTCGTAAAAACACTGCTTCGTGAAAAATAGGTTTAAAGTTTGAGAAGCCCGTCTGCCGTCACTTGATGCTGTCGCAAAAAATCGACTATATCTTCAAGAGTTCTTGAGATTTTCACTTGAAATTTTGTAAGGACATTCTTGAATTAGTGCAGAATCGAATTAAATAAAAAAAGAACTAAATTAAAATTTTTGACACCGAAAATGGGGGGAGGTCCCCTTAAGTCTTTTTATACCAATCGACCCTAGTCATTTTTAGACAATTATCGAATTGTCCAACGAGAACAAATCTTTATACGGTATTCAATCTGGGGCGATTGATCGTCATATAAAGTTCCTCGATGTACTCATTTCGTGACAATCGACGTCGAATCCTTTCGGTAAATGATTGTAGGAAATTGTTCAGCAAGTTGAATACATGTTTGGCGCAATGAGTAATGCAACACTTAGCATTGCATTGTCCAAAAATGTGTATATAGTAGCCCACGTATTCTGGGATCTGATATGACGATTTTAATTTTAGTATATTGTTTATATTTTACTCGGGGTATATACAAATTAATATGCGGAATCGTATGCGATTTTGTACTCTCAATCATGAGATGTGCTTTAAGAATACCTAAATTCGGACGGAACCTTTATATGGAAGACATGTCATGGACCCATAGTGCAAAATGTCTACATAGAGGAAATTTTGTCCCAACTACATATAAATAGTTCGATTGGAAAATTCGGCTAGGACCTTCAACAATCGGTATATAGTTTGCGAATTTAAAATTGTATTATTTTACCCACCAAGAACATGGAATGCTTCGATTGGAACAAAACAAAAATACAGACCATAAAAAAACTTAAAAGTGGACGACAACTCCAAATGTAAACTAGTTGTCAAAATATTTATAAATATTATTAGATATTTCTTTCCAATATATATTTTACCCCTTAAGAAACAGGAATGCTAAATTACAGCTATTTGGGTCGAAAAATGTGGCAAGAACCTTCAAAATACCCCGGTGGGGGCTATTCCATGTCATGGACCAATATATCCAATTTTCAGTGTCAAACATTTCCGAAGTAGTAGCGCGAATCTGCATATTCTGGCGACTTGTGGAAATAGATAGAATTTATATGGCGGATGGCCCATTTATTCCACGTTTTGGCAGCTAAAAAGGTTCTGCTTCGAACCGAAGTGTGGTAACTAGCATTGTTATGAGGTCCATTGATTCGTCTTCTCTTGGTCGTATTTTGTCCTACATTACTACATTACTTGAGCGGAACAGTCGCTACATGATAAATTTTTGCCGAAAAACCAGGGAACCATTTGTGAGTAATTCCAGCTGCAAGTATTTCCACATTATGAGGGGGAATAATGGTGGACAGGGTATTTGTACGATTCAAACTTAGCAATTTAAATTTTTTACCACACCTAGATAATACTCTAGGTGTGAATTGAACCTCTCACTCACTTCTTGTACCTTTTCTCCACCAAATGTCAAAATTTTGAAAATGTTTACATCCCATTTGAAATGATTAATACATAAAAATTGATCCAAACATTGTTCAACGTTTTTTAACAAACATGGATCAAGAAAAATTCGCCCCAGGTCAAAGTTCGAAGATACACCATTATACATGGGGAGATTGCGCCATTGTACGTATTGTCTGAAATTAATTTTTTCTGTAAAATCGAATAAATCATTTGTTCGTCCTTTTAACTCGATTCCTTGTATGTTATTATACCCTTCACCAAACTGTGGTACAGGGTATTATGTCTTTGTGCACATGTTTGTAAGAGGCAATAGGAAACAAGATATACACATGGTTCCTTTAGATAATATCCATAGAATCACTTTCTGAGTCGATTTATGCATGTCCGTCCGTCTGTAGATGTTAAATTGTAAACAAAGTACAGGTCGCATTTATGATCAGATTTGGATGAAATTTGGCACAGCTCACTTATTTGACCCAAGGACGAACCCTGTTGAAATTGAAGAAAATAGATTCAGATTTAGATGTAGCTCCTTATATAGATTCGTCCGATTTAAGGTAAATGAAACACCAAAGTCCCTATAAATCATTCGATTTGCGTGAAATTTGGCATAGAGGTCTGAATTAGTCCCAGAATGATGTGTGCTAAGTTTCATGAAAATCGGTTCAGATTTAGATATATATATTTTCGTTCGATTTAAGGTAAATGCGGCACCAAAGTCCCTACATATAGTTCGATTTGCAGAAATTTGGTATAGGGTACTGAATTAGGTCAAGAATAACAAGTGATATGTTTCGAGAAAATCGGTTCAGATTGAAATATAGCTCCCATATATAGTTTTGTCCGATTTTATGTAAATGGTGCACCAAAGTCCTTATATGTCCCTATAATATGCGCGAAATTGTACATGGTGTACTCAATTCAGTTTAGAATGACGTGTGCCAAATTTCGAGAAAATCGGGTCAGATTTATATATATCACCCATATATATTTTCATCCAATTTAAGGTAAATGGAACTCCATTCGTATTTATCTTTCGATTTGCACGAAATTTGAAATTTTGTACTGAATTAGGTCCAGGTTGATTTGTGCTATGTTTCGAAAAATCGGTTCAGATTTGGCTCCCATATATATTTTCGTCCGATTTAATGTAAATTGTGCACTAAAGACCCAAAGTTTGGCCGACCGGCATACAATTTTGTAAAGCGTACTGAAATTACTTTAATTGAATGTTTTATACGTTGAAGTATTTGTGTGTATTTTTTTTTTTTTTTTTTTGTATTTACATTTGATTTTCGTTCCTTTGAGATGGACATCTGTCCTTACCATAGCTCATGTGTTTTAATTTTCGCGAAAATCAGGTTAGATTTAGATTTATGTTCGTTCCACTCCATGTCAATGTTCCTTCGAAAAGGCGACGTCTGTTCAGAGATTTTTTATCCCCGCAATGTTCTAAAAAATATTGCTTCTACGATTTTAGGTGGAGTCCTCTGAGACAGAAATCAATATTTTAATGTTTTAATTATTTTTTTGTATACCCTACACAAGTATGTTGTCAGGGTATTATAGCTTTGTGCAGCCTCAAGAGTTTGTAACGCCGCGAAATATTGGTCCTAGACCCACCTTTAAGTATACCGATCGTCATATCTCGACTAGCTGAATCGATTTAGACATGTGTGTCCGTCCGTCCGTCTGTCCATTATAATTTGTAAACACGATACAGGCCACAGTTATGCACCAATCTTCACGAAATTTTGCATGTAGGATGGGTTCTGGCCAATGAAGACCCCTATTGTTTTTGAAAAAGATCGGTTAATATTTAGGGGATGAAATGGACCAAAAACTTTATTTTTGTCGGTTTTTCTGGTCGCTCCAGAGGCCGCAATTATGCACCAAACACCGCGAATTTTTCCATGGAGAAGGCGATTGGGCCAAAGAATAAGCATGCCTGTTTTGATAAAGATCGGTCAATATTTAGTGGGTCAAATGGACCCTAACTTTTGTGTGAAAAAATGCAACATTTTTATTCTGGGACGTATATACTTGCTCCTGAAGGACATATACTCGAGATGTTGATAGTATGTCCAATATGAGTTGTTGACCTTCGAATTGATACCAATTGTATGGCTGTATGTACTCCGATGCGGGAGTTATACGTAATTAAGTAAAGGTGACTATGTGCATATTATTACTATTACTCCATTAGAGGACGGAAATGACGCGCTGATCGCTTTGAAATTGTACATGAAGTTCCGATTATGGTCAAGGACGACGCTTATAGTTTTGGGTGAAGTTGAGATTTCATTCAGGGGGTGCAATGATACGAAAACTTTAATTTTGTCAGATTTTATAGTCGCTTTAGAGACAATTATTATATACAGAACATAATATATTTTACAAGGTGAAGGGTATCTGACCAAATACTTAGAGCGGCTGTTTAGATGATGATCGGTCAATTTTCCGAGGGTCAAATCAACCAAAACCTAATGTGACCAATTTTTTAATTAATCCTGTTTAAATATTTAGAAAATAGTTTCATTCGAATTTGTCCTAACTAAACATGTTTTTAACAAATAATTGGGACGAATCCGGCAGTTCTTCATAACACAGTATAATAAAAAAAAATTAATTAAAACATTAAAATATTGATTTCTGTCTCAGAGGACTCCACCTAAAATCGTAGAAGCGATATTTTTTAGAACATTGCGGAGATAAAAAATCACATCTCTGAACAGACGTCGCCTTTTCGAAGGAACATTGACATGAAATTGAACGAACATAAATCTAAATCTAACCCGATTTTTGCGAAAATTAAAACACACGAGCTATGGAACGAAAATCAAATGTAAATACAAAAAAAAAACAGTGAGCGGAGCAGTATAGTCGGACGGGGCC